AGCGGCTTCCCTCGCCGGGGCCGCTGCAGGAGCGGCCGTCGCTCGAGGTGATGCGCTACTTGCTCACCCCGGAGATGAGAGACGGGCCCGCGGCCGGGCCGGCGCGAGACCGAGAGCCGCGAGGACCGCGGTAAAGTGAAAAGTCTCTGTGCGGGCGCGCCTCGCCGTTGACGCGTGAGCAGGAGAGAAGGAACGCGCCTCGCCAACCGGCCTCTCGCTGTGTCTCCCACTTGAGGCAAACCCCACTTTGGGACCTGTTTGAGGCGGTGTGACGGCTCTCACAGGGCACGGGAAGCTCGCCCGCCGTGTCTGCGTGGCCCGCCCGACCCGCGGGGAACGGCGCGCGCCCCTCCCGGCGGAGCTGGGTGCGGCAGACGGGCCCACGGGTCGGTTCCGGGCCGATTTGGGGCCGTTCTGTCTAGTTATGGGTCAAAATCGAGCTAGACAGTTAAATATCTCGCCCCCACGGATGAAACTTTTTGAATTTTCTGGCCACGATCGTCGACCGGGCCCGTGAGGCCACGGGAACGCCCTCGGATTGTACAGCACCCTCCACTAGCCACAACCGTGGGCCCTCAACCGCGTATCGGTGTCGCCGCAAAATAGCCTTCAGACGCTGTCCAGTCGTTATAAATCGGCCAATCTGGCCCCTCTGCCACAAGTTTTGCTTTGGGACGCACCGTAGCACGGTGGAGTCGAGATCCGGCGCGCAACCATCAAAAGTTTCATCAATCGGGCCCGGCTAGACCTGCCACCGGAGGCGCGCAAAATGGAGGCGATTTTGTGGTGGTAAAGCGAAAGATGGCCAGAACGGGGCGCCGCGCGCTCGGGAGCGCTCGCCGCTCGCAGGCCAACTCCTCCCCAGCACGGTGCGTGCGTGCGCTCAGGTTGAACTCGATGCCGCGACTTCACAGCCTCCGCCGTGAAGCGTCCAGCACGCCGAGGGCGGACGCTTTTCGGCGCCATGGTTTTGGCGCATTTCTTCGCCGGCTGTCATCCCAGTCCATGGTCGCTCCACGTCGATTCCCAGGCGTGCCCGCACGCTCCTCAGGGGAGTGGGCACGCCTCTTGCTATCCTGAAGCGCGCGTCAAGCCCGCTCGACCGTGAGCTTGCTCAGCGAACAGTTTTTCAACAGACGTTGAGCGACGGGCGTGAATCTCCCACACACTCGCCAACTCCTGACTGAGCAGGCCTAGTACCCACGTGATAGCCCCACTGATCCATCCCATGCGATCAGGCGCCGCTCGGACCCCATCTTTGAGCAGGATTCCTCGCGGCAACACAACTCGGCGCTCTCGATGTGCGCGCTAGGCAGTCTCAACGCCGATTACTGCCGAGCGCGCACGACTCGTCGGCGTACCGGCGTGCCGCTGGCATACTACGCGACGGTGGAGGCGCGTGGGCTTGCTCAAAAGGCATGCATCTGTCGGAGAGTGTGCCGCAAGACCTGATGTGCCTCCGCTCCAGGTGTGTGGCAGTTCGATGGATCCAGCCCAGCGACCTCCACGTGACGATTGAGGACTGCTCTTCCCCTTCGGCCGAGCCTCCAGTCCCTGCCACCGTGCACTGGCGCCAGCGAGCTGCGTTTACATCCCGCACGCGCGATCGGCAGTCGAGTTACAACCCGCAGCTGTGCTGTGTGCGCGCGCACTCGAAAGTGGTTCGGCGATCTCTCGGCGACCACTCGTCGACTCGCGCTCGGACGCGAGGTGCGTGCTCGCCTGCCTCCCCCGGGAAGGACACGGCCATTTCCAGCGAGATCTGTGGAATCATCCTCACCACCCTGCCCTCACGCCACCCAACCCGTCCGGCTGCTGCCATACTGGGACGTGAGTGCAATATTTGTGCTGCCCTCGCCATCCGACGCGTGTGCTCCGCTCCCTGCAGGCGGGGATCGCCGTCGCGCACCAACACGCTTCGTCCGGGAGGCGCGCGGCGCGACCCGCGTTGCGAGAGCGTCGGCGGAGCCCGCGTGCTGGCCCTCTCCGGGACCGCCGCCGGGGCCCAGAGGGCGCAGATTCGGCCCCCCAGGGTCAAAGAGGGCGGTTCTGACACCGCCAAGCGGTGCTTTCGTGGACCCCACGAGCTCGCGTTCATCCGTTCAAAAATATTTATTTACCCGCAGTTTGCCTCAAGTGGTCTCCGCCGCCGCAACTCCGCCGCGGTCCGTCCGTTGGGTGGTTTGGACAGATGAGAAAATATGACTTTTATGAGGTGCAACGAGAGGCCCTACGTGTGCGCCACAAAGTGGGTCACAGCCTCGCGTGCGCCGCGGCGCACTGGCGGTACACGTCCATGTGGCTCTGCACCACCTGGTGGAAGGGCGGCGACGACGGCTCGAGGTTGCGGGGGTAGCCTCCTCCCAAGGTCACCACCAGCCGCGGCGCGCTCTGCAGCCCGCTGACGAGCCGGTACACGAGTGCGTTCCTAGGGAAGGAAGGGTCCGGTAAACTTCTCCACACACACGAGGTGGTAGGGCAACGGGGGCGCGACCCTCGCGACTCCGCGTCTAGACGACAGGAGCCCACAGCAACAACAGTGCAAGGCCCAGTGCGCGTTGGGGAGCGGTGTGTGTGTGTGTGTGTGTGTGCGCGCGCGCGCGTGTGTGTGTGTGTGTGTGTGTGTGTGTGTGTGGAGTGCGTTCCTCTTCTTGAGGCCCGCGGTGCTGAGCTCGAGCCGGCCGATCCGGTCCGCCTGTCGGAAGGTTCCGAGAAGGTTCAGGACAGGGTCTAGGGAGTGCGGATACAGGCGCCGCACGGCGGTTCGAGCGGGAGGCGCAGTGCGCGCGAGGGAGAGGGGGCGTGTGCGGCGGAAGGAGGAGGAGCAAGAGTAGCAGCGGTAGTGTGCGGTAGTAGTAGTGAGCGGTAGTGGACCAGCCTGGTGCGGGTCGACGCCGCCCTGAAAGAAGACCTGCGAACAATCGGCGCTTGGCAATCGGCGCTTGGCGGTGGGGGCGCCACAGAGCTGGCAGGTGTCCTCCCCCCCCTCCCCCCCCTCGCCCCCCCCAAACACCCACACACCCACGGGGCCCGGCGCTGTGTCCGTCGCCAATTGTCCGCGCATGCGACGCGTGCCGCGGGCCATGGCGCGTGTGATTCCGTCGCCTCGAGACGGGGCTCGTGCCTTTGCGCGGGCTCGAGGAGGCGTCTAGGAGGGCCCAGTCGAGGTCTGGAGGTGGTGTCGCTATCTCTCGCGCGCCAGGTCGGGCTGCGTCGAGATCTCGGCTAGATCTCGGCTAGATCTGGCCAGACCTCGGCCAGACCTCGGCCAGACCTCGGCCAGACCTCGGCCAGACCTCGGCCAGACCTTGGCCAGACCTCGGCCAGACTTCGGCCAGACCTCGGCCAGACCTCGGCCAGACTTCGGCCAGACCTCGGCCAGGCCTCGGCTAGACCTCGGCTAGACCTCGGCTAGACCTCGGCTAGACCTCGGCTAGACCTCGGCTAGACCTCGGCTAGACCTCGGCTAGACCTCGGCTAGATCTCGTCTCGGCTAGACCTCGCGCGCCAGGTCCGGCTGCGTCGCCTCGAGGAACCTTGGCAGGTGCTCGCCTGCGGAACGGGCTGATGAAGCTCACTGATCCGCTCGCTGATCTGATCTGCTAGCTGGAATGGATTCGGCCCATTGAGCCAATCGTCTCTCGCGCCGCGTCGAGGCGGGCAGGCCAAGCGGTCGCGCTCAGCAGCGCGAGGTATCTCGGCGCGATCTCGGCGCTTCTCGGCGCGATCTCGGCGCGATCTCGGCGCGATCTCGGCGCGATCTCGGCTCGTCCCCGCCCAACAGCGCGAGATAGCCGTCGTCGCCCTCCCCCACCTATAATTGAGTGGCGTTTCACTTAACCTTCAACGCACCCCGTTCATGAACCCCCCCCCCCCCCACACACACACACACACCGGCACGTCCACGTCGAGGTCCGACGCCTCGCGTGCCGAGAAGAGGTTGCCTGTGAGATGATGAGGCCCGGTGAGGTCAGAGTAGTGGCCTCGAGCTCCTCCCGCGCGGTCGAGGGTTGCCCTTTTCAGAGGGGGCTCGGGTACGGTTGGGGCGGTCGGACTGTCCGTTCCCCTCCGGCTCCTCTTGCGCGATCGAGTGCTGCTGTCCCTCGGCCATCCCTCGGCCATCCCTCGGCTGTCCCTCGGCTCTCTCTCGGCTCTCTCTCGGCTCTCTCTGCCCTCGCAATGCTGAGAGTAGGTCTTGACGCGCCCGTCGGCGGCGAAGATGCGCGCGCTGCCGTTCCCCTGCAGGTGCACGCCGCGAGTCCGACCCAGTGGGAAGGGGCCGCTAGAGGTGGGCTCTTGTTTGCCTTGTCTACTCTTGCCTGCCTTCTCCGGGCGGGTGGAGTGGTGTGAGCACACGAGTGCTGGCGGAGTGCACACCGGCCTTGGGCCCCGTGCCCGAGCCATGTGTGTGTGCGTCTGTGCGTGTGTGGGACAGAGACGCTGTTGCCCTCTGCGCGGGGCTTCCCGCGGAGGACCGAAGACGCACGTTGTCCGGGCGGGTGCCTCGACGGGTGCCCGAGCTCTGCAGGCGGGTGCTGGCCGACTGCCGCGCTGTGTGCTGCCGCGAGGGAGTGAGTGAACTCGTTCATTCGGAGCGTGCCAAGTCTGTCGCTTCGGTGCGCTGCGCCAGCGTGCCGCCGCCCGAGTGAGAGGATTCACGCAGCGGTGGGCGGTGGGAGCCGTTGCAGTCTGCTGCAGCACTGCACACCTGGTGCACGTCCAGGTCGACCAGCAGCACTCTCCGGATGGCAGGGTAGTCCCGGAGCGCGCACGCCGC